CCAGCCCGCCCCCACACTATAGTACCGGGCTGACACAAGCTGAACTGGGTTGTAAAAGGGTCAGCCCGGCCCGATTAATATGTATAAGTAAATTTGATATGATAATATAACGGTAAGGATAAATTTGGGCTGATAGTATAACGAAGGTTAAATATAGATAATATATGAAAATATATGAGTATATTTGGCCATTTTCCCTAGAATCTATAGAACTTGTGTATAAAGTGATCGTTACTTCAATTTTTACGTCATGGATAAGCCAGCATCCTTAGCGTAATGACGTTGAAACAAATCTCAGTTTAAGAACATTGATGGATCATGACATGTATGTGATTAAAAAAAAAAGTGGTACTTAGTGATGGTACAATCAGATGAGCGTCATTTGAAATATTTTTATATACAAGTCATCTGACATTAACGGAAAAAGGATACGAGTAAGGTCGTTCCATATCTCTGCAATATCTTCTTGTTACTGTCAGTAGTGTTTGTTGTTGCTCTTTTGTCATTATACACAAAGGTTACAGAAAAGAAAGAAGTCGATTTAGACGCAATTAACTCATTAGCCACCAAATAGTTTAAGTTACTCCTATTATTCTCTTTATATATTTCACTTTTCAAGTTCACTTTAGAGCATATATTCTTTAATAGTGGTAGCTTAGGTACGTTCTAAAATGTTCCTACACCCCTCTTTCGTTTCTCAAAATGTTAGTGTGGAAAGCTTGACTATGACTAAACCGATGAGTGATGCAATAGGAAGAAAATGCTTGCTTTGGAGCATAATTCCACTGCCCAACAATAGCCCCTTCCTTTTTGTCAAAAGCACCTCGAACCAATTTGAAACCAAAGGTAAGTAAAAAGAATCCTTTTTTTCTCTCTTCTGGGGCCCCTTTTTCTTCACCGCATATTGTCAAAACCATAGCTGTCAAATAGATTGTGTCCATTCTCAATTATGCCCGTCAGATTACATGCCCATATTGTCAAATTCTTGTTGAAAGTTTTTTTTTTTTTTTGTACTAGTTTTACAGGCACATAGCAATGAGCCCTATTTACAGGCACATTATACGGTACAATGCTACATGTTGTCCACTTTATTGCTGGTAAAGTTTAATTTTGAATTGCACCAATTGTGCTCTGAAGCTTCGAATTACAGTCCACTTTATGACTAATGTTTCCACTATATATGTAGTATTAACAATTGTACCTATAATAACTGGTTTAGCTCGATAAAATTTGAGAAATTTGCCCTGATTGTACTAGTGCTCTTCAATTTTGTCTCCTGAAATATAAAATAGGAACATGCTTATGGGGATTACAACTATAATATTTTTTCACCTATATCTAAAATGGGGATTTGGTCTCCTTAGTGCTTTGTGGATTCTTCAAAATGTTGGACTTGTGTGTGGGTGGTGCAATTAGACTCTTTATATAGTCTTAAACAATCCTCAATCTATGAGCTAATTTTTTGAATTGAGTTAGGCCCAATATTTATTTTCTTATCATCAACCCACTTTAGGCACACAAAAAGAAGAAGCTTCCTCTTAAGGAATAAGGATAAAGTACCGTGTAAACACAGTGTTTTGCCTTTTGTGTATTGGTGGATAGATTACATGAGGAATCAGGTCCCTTTAAGATAAAATGAACTTTGAACTGATGCTTATTCTGCTGTGGATCTTTCTCTTGTTACAATCAGAATCAAATGAGTCCCTAGCTAGCTCCTCAATTGACTTGGATACTTCTTACTTTCGTAAAGTCCACTACATTTACTGGTGGTAGTATTTGATTGGTATTGTCAAACTGTAATTGTTTGAAAGCATTTTGCAAAACTAACTGATACTATCTGCACAAATATTAAAACATAAACAGATCATATATCAACAATTATCTGATGTATTTTGTCACTGGGGTCTTGAATACAACTTACTTTGTTGGTTCACTTGATGTTTATTGCACGTTGAATATGTTGAGTACAGAATTCTTTATCACATAACATTATTTTGGTAGAGATACTAGTCAATCAATTTTACTTGACTGATATTTATGAGAAACTAAAACACCTATAGAGAATGCTATCAAAGCTGTTATAATAATCGTTTTGTTCTTTCTCATCGTTTCTTTTGCTGCTGCTACCAATAGATTATTTTCGTGCCAATTCTTTGCCATTTTTGCATCATGAAATTCTTCTTCTTCGCTTGCTTCGCTCTTTTCCTCTTTGCCATTTTCACTTTGTTTTTTATCATCACTAATTGAACTTTCTTCTTCCTCTGGTTTCTTCTGTTGATTCTCTACATGAGAATTGCTATCAGTTGCTACTTGGTCGTCTTCTTTGTTTTCTGATAATTCCTTTGGGATTATGACATATAGAATCCCATCTTCAAGCCTTGCGCTTGTATCTTCAGATTTTGACTTTTCAGGTGCTTTAGTTGATATCTTAAAGCGAATATATTTATATTCACTTTCCTTCCTTTCTCCACTTACCGTTATATTGCCAAATATATCAACTTGAAGCTTCACCTCCTCTCTTTTGAATCCTTCTAACAAATTAGAAGAACAAGAAAAATATATTTAACATCATTATGATAAATAACATAGTACAGTATCTCATTTGGTTTTTGATTGGTACATGTTATTAAATGACTCGGATCGTGATAATAGTATTAGAGCTGTAGTCTTTCTGTTTGATGATTGAATGAATAATATATGCAAACATGTTACTCTGACTATAAAATCCAAATAATAACTTGAAAAAACAGAGATTTTGAAATGCAAAAATGAGGAGACAATGAACAATGAATACCAGGGAGATCAATAAGTAGATAATGGTTGTCGGTATCCTCTATCCAACCAGAGGAAGGTTCAAGATCTTCATATATTGAATTGGTTGAACTTGTCCAATTAGCCCCTCCTCTGTAATCCCCAAGATGTGACATCGATTAGACTTGGTTGATGAATTTAAAGTACTAATAATTTTACCCTTTTTCCAGATAAGTGAAGCCGTTAATTGGTGAGTTCTTTTGCAATGAAGTTCATATATTTATAATTTCCACAAACAAGAAAGTCCACGAGAACAATAGCCTGAATATAATGCACTATATTGTTTAGTTTATTATGATCATAATTAGATAGCTTTTCTTGCAAGGCAAGATCTTGCAATTTTTATTCTGTTCTTTCACCCTGGGACTCTGTTACGGCAAATCCCTTATTTCGTTGTTGAGAAAGGTAACACTTTTATTCGATGCTTTACTTCAATCCAAATGGTCAAAAAAGAGAGAGAACTAAAGCTGTCATTTGTTGTCATTCTTCAAGTAATCTATGGACATTAATTTGCACACATTGTCCTTAGCTTAATGGCGTGAAGGATAGATTTTTCCACAAACAGGATTATTTCAGTTTCTTCTATTGCAATAAAGTATATTCATGTATTTTTGGTTGAGACTCATGTGGGGTCCATCCCAAGAGAAGGAAAAATGTTCAAATTGTCAAATATATACTATAGTAAGCTTCAGAGAGTGAGGCTTCGGCTATAAAAGGAGAGCTTCGGCTCTCATTTCTATACACCAACAAAGAAAAAAGAAAGAGTGAGGTTTCACAGACAGGGTATAAGAAAATAGTCTGTGAGAAAAATAGAGAATTAGCGATATTGTAGTGAGGTGAGAATATCAAAAGAGAGTTATTTCTTTTGAGTGTTGTAGTGATCTTTGGAGGATTTTACTCAAACCTACAAAGTGTAAAATTCTTTGCTATAGTGATATCAGTTGTTCTTCTCGAGGCCGTGGTTTTTTCCTTTATTCAAAAGAGTTTTCCACGTAAAAAATCTTTGTGTTCTTGTTGTTCTTTTTATTCTTATTGATTACCGTATATGTATCTATATACGTTATTATTCCGCTTTTATTACCATGAATATTATTTCTGTATGGGGTTTATTCCCAACAACTGGTATCAGAGCACAGGTTCTGCTCGCTCACAAAAGTACTATTCACTGTCGGTAGTACTATACTCGTTGAAAAAAAATATATGGAGTAAAGTACGAGGTAGCAAAATTCAACGGAGATAGCAGTTTCTCAACATGGCAAAGAAGGTTGAGGGATCTGCTCATCCAACAAGGATTACACAAGGTACTAGATGCTGATACTAAAAGGCCTGATACCATGAAAGCCGAGGATTGGGCTGACTTGGATGGAAAGGGCTGCTAGTGCAATCAGGTTGCACTTATCAGATGATGTGGTAAATAACATCATTGATGAAGACACCACACATGGCATTTGGACAAGATTGTAAAGCCTATACATGTCCAACACGCTGACAAATAAATTGTACCTGAAGAAGCAGTTATACGCCCTATACATGGGTAAAGGTATGAATTTTTTGTCACATTTAAATATGTTTAACAGACTAATCACACAGCTCGCCAACCTCGGAGTAAAAATCGAGGAAGAAGATAAAGTCATATTGCTATTGAACTCATTGCCATCTTCGTATGATAATTTAGCAATAACCATCTTGCACGGTAAGACTACCATTGAGTTGAAAGATGTCACATCATCTCTTCTACTCAATGAGAAGTTGAGAAAGAAGCCTGAAAATCAAGGACATGCTCTCATCACAGAAGGTAGAGGCGAGAGTTATCAAAGGAGTTTGAGCAACTATGGTAGATCCGTAGCTCGTGGGAAGTCTAAGAACCGATCCAAATCAAGAGCCAGGAATTGCTACAATTGTGATCAACCAGGTCAATTCAAAAGAGATTGCCCAAATCCAAGGAAGGGCAAAGGTGAAAGCAGTGGCCAGAAGAATGACGACAACACAACCGCCATGGTGCAAAAACATGATAATGTTGTCCTCTTTATAAATGAGGAAGAGGAATGAATGCACTTGTCAGGTTCAGATTTAGAATGGGTGGTTGATACAATAACATCTTACCATACCACACCGGTAAAAGATCTTTTTTGCAGATATATAGCAAGTGATTTCGGCATTGTGAGAATGGGTAACACAAGTTACTCAAAGATTGCGAGGATTGGTGACATTTGTATCAAGACAAATGTCGGATGCACATTGGTTCTAAAGGATGTGTGACATGTACCTGATTTGCGGATGAACTTGATCTCGTGAATTCCTTTAGACCGAGATGGATACACAAACTATTTTGCAAATCAAAAGTGGAGACTGACCAAAGGATCATTGGTAATTGCTAAGGGAGTTGCTCTTGGCACGTTGTATAGGACAAATGCAGAAATATGCCAAGGTGAATTAAACGCGACACAAGATGAGATTTCTGCAGATTTGTGGCACAAAAGAATGGGTCATATGAGCTAGAAGGGATTGCAGATTCTTGTCAGGAAATCACTCATCTCTTTTGCCAAAGGTACAATGATAAAACTTCGTGACTACTATTTATTTGGTAAGCAACATAGAGTCTCATTTCAGACATCGTCTGAAAGAAAAATAAATATGCTTGATTTAGTATATTCTGATGTTTGTGATCCAATGGAAATTAAATCGATGGGTGGTAACAAATATTTTGTTACTTTTATTGATGATGCTTCACGTAAATTGTGGGTTTATATCCTGAAAACCAAAAATCAGATATTTCAAGTTTTCTTAAAGTTTCATGCTCTGGTGGAAAGGGAGACAGGCCAAAAGCTAAAGTGTCTCCGAAGTGACAATGGAGATGAGTACACTTTAAGGGAATTTGAAGAGTATTGTTCAAGTCATGGGATCAGACATGAAAAGATAGTTCTTGGAACCCCACAACACAATGGCGTAGCCGAAAGGATGAACCGCACCATTGTGGAGAAGGTGAGAAACATGCTGAGAATGGCTAAACTGCCTAAGTCATTCTAGGGCGAAAAAGTTCAGACAACCTATTACCTAATCAATATGAGTCCATCGGTTCTATTGGAGTTTGATATCCTAGAGAGAGTTTGGACCAACAAGGAGGTGCCCTACTCGCATCTGAAGGTATTCGGTTGTAGAGCTTTTGTACATTTACCAAAAGAGCAAAGAATAAAGCTGGATGATAAATTTGTTCCCTGCATATTTATCGGATATAGAGATGAAGAGTTCGAGTACAGATTGTGGGATCCTATAAAGAAGAAGGTCATTAGAAGCAGAGATGTAATCTTTCGAGAAAGTGAAGTTGGAGCTGTAGATGATCAGTCAGAGAAGACAAAGAATGATATAATCCCTAACCTTGTTACCATTCCTTCTTCTTCTTCTTCTAACTATCCCATAAGTGCAGAAAGTACGACCGACAAGGTTGCCGAGAAAGGGGAGCAACCTGGTGAGGTTATTGAGTAGGGGGAGCAACTTGATGATGATGTCGAGCAAGTGGAGTACCCCACTCAAGAAGAAGAAGAACCTCAACCTCTGAGGAGATCAAAAAGGCCAATGGTAGAGTCATGCAGGTACCCTTCCACAGAGTATGTCCTCATCAGTGATGAGGGAGAGCCAGAAAGTCTTAAAGAGGTGATGTCTCATCTAGAAAAGTACCAGTGGATGAAAGCCATACAAGAAGAGATGAAATCTCTACAGAAAATGGTACGTACAAGCTGGTTGAACTTCCAAAGGGTAAAAAACCACTCAAATGCAAATGGGTCTTTAAACTCAAGAAATATGGAAAAAATGGCAAGCTGGTCAGATACAAAGCTCGATTGGTGGTAAAAGGCTTCGAATAGGAGAAAGGTATTGATTTTGATGAAATTTTCTCATCTGTTGTCACAATGACTTCTATTCGAATAATTTTGAGCTTAGCAGCTAGCCTGGATATTGAAGTGGAGCATTTGGACGTGAAAACTACATTTCTCATTGAGATTTGGAAGAGGAGATTTATATGGAGCAGCCAGAAGGATTTGAATTAGCTAGAAAGAAATACATGGTGTGCAAATTGAATAAGAGTCTTTATGAGTTGAAACATGTACCAAGGTAGTGATATAAGAAGTTTGACTCATTCATGAAAAGTCAAACTTACATAAAGACATATTCTGATCCATGTGTGTACTTCAAAAGATTTTCTAACAATAATTAATTATTTTGTTGTTGTATGTGGATGACATGTTAATTGTAGGAAAAGACAAGGAGTTGATCGCAAAGTTAAAGGGAGATTTGTCCAAGTCATTTGATATGAAGGGCTTGGGCCTAGCACAATAAATTCTGGGTATGAAGATAGTTCGAAAGCGAACAAGCAGAAAGTTGTTGCTGTCTTAGAAGAAGTACATTGAACGTATACTGTAACGCTTCAACATGAAAATTCTAAGCCAGTCGGCACACCTCTTGCTAGTCATATGAAGTTAAGCAAGAAGATGTGTCCTACAACAATGGAGGAAAAGGAAAGCATAACCAAAGTTTCTTATTCCTTTGCCGTCGGAAATTTGATGTATTCAATGGTATGCACTAGACCTGATATTGCTCACGCAGTTGGTGTTGTCAGCATGTTTCTTGAAAATCCCGGAAGAGAACATTGGGAAGCAGTCAAGTGGATACTCAAGTACCTGAGAGGTACCGCGGGAGATTGTTTGTGCTTTGGAGGATCTGATCCAATCTTGAAGGGTTATACAGATGATGATATGGCACATGGCATTGATAACAAAAAATTCACTACTGGATATTTATTTACATTTTCAGGGGGAGCTATATCATGGCAGTCGAGCTTACAGAAGTGTGTCGCACTCACTACAACTGAAGCGGAGTATATTGCCGCTACTGAAGCTGGTAAGGAGATGATATGGTTGAAACGGTTCCTTCAAGAGTTTGGATTGTATCAGAAGGAGTATGCCGTCTATTGTGACAGTCAAAGTGCAATAGACCTTAGCAAGAACTCCATGTACCATGCAAAGACCAAACACATCGACGTGAGATATCACTGGATTCGAGAAATGGTAGAGAGTGAATCTCTAAAAGTCTTTAAGATTTCTACAAATGAGAATCCCGCAGATATGCTGACCAAGGTGGTACCAAGAGACAAGTTCGAATTGTGCAAATAACTTGTCGGCATGCACTCAAGTTAGAAGTTCGGTGTTACCTCCTTCATGTGAATGGGTCTGGAGGGGGAGATTTGTGGGGACCATCCC